TAATAATAATACACACACAAAAATAAACAAATAAAAACAAATGATTTACAGACATTTTGGAGTAACTATGTATTTACTATTGAAGTGCAACCATCTTCACATTAATGAAAGAGGAAAGGATGTGGGTGAAACTGCGGTGAGGCCCCAGTTTCTGTAGTTTGTTTTGCTGAGAGGCTGCCCTAGGCGGCTGATGATTTGACTGGCATTAGGCTGATATGTCACTCTGTGAGAGGTCTTGAGGAATGTGCACACGCTTAACTGCAGCACAGCATCACCTCACTAAAGCCTATAGGTGGAAGGAAGTCCTTATTTTCTGTTATTTACGTAGCTGCCCAAAGAGCTCCTAGAGGATTGTTTTTTTCCAAATCATTCTAAAAGTGTGAGTAGCAAGTCAACATTGTACCTAACTTTTTACATGCAGTATTGTAGGAAGTGGCTGCCATGCTGGTACCAGACATTAAGTTCTGATCCGATATGTGGACTGATAAAACTTTGTAATCACACCTTGCATCCGCTAAGCATGCAAATCAATCACCCTTAGCTTCATGGGTGCTGTTTTGTGGCCAAAACATCTCTCTGACCTCTCTGAAGTAGCAGTGAAAAAAATATTTATTTCCCTACAGGGATGGATAAAATATCCTATTACATAAATGCAGACACCTTATGATTCCACCTGACTTGGTTTTTAAGTTTAAAAAGGAATCTATAGTCCCCTTCCTTCCTTTGTCTGCCAAGTTATATCACTGACAGTGTGGCACTGGGTCTCAGATTACAGGACTCCTCTCCTCGCCACACGATTGGCTGCGCAGACACTCACCTTCCACAATAAAAAAAAACACTCAAAAATAAACTAAAATGAGCCCCTTGGATATGATGTGTGAAAAAAAGCACAGAGCAGGCTGCTTGACCTTTCCAGCCTTTTGGTAAACTTGTACAAGGCGTCGGCGGGAGCAAACAGAAGGTGACAGATATCAGAATGCCACATGTCACCAGCGCTTCTGCCAATGTGGCGGTGGGAGCAGCTTAGGGGCAAGCAGCTTAGGACAGAGGGAACGAAGACGAAGAGGGGAGAAGGTCAAAAATGAATCTCCTAACACACACAAGACGGGAGTGTCATCACACTCATGGTAACTCTGTCAAACTGCTTCACTTGCCTTTTGCAGTTTGACGAAGTTACCATGACCACAGACCGGAGGCTTTACAGGATTCCCTCAACTGTCTAGTCACTACAAAGGAAGATGACTAGATTTTAATTCAGTGAAAAATGATTAAACCCAACCAAAAAAAATAAAAACTACAATATTCCATTTACAAAGATATAAAACCAAGGAAACCATCAATTGCTTACATTTGAGATGTTGGAACCAGCATTCGAATAATTAATCACATTGTTTTAGCATTAGTGGTCAACTATAGGATCATGCTATAATGTATTTAATACAGCCTTGATAGAGCCTTTATGTTTAATGTTGACAACAATGAAGAGGAGTGCTGTCATCACTCATCAACTGATCCATGCTGACAATACTAACCCATAGACTGAAAGAAGTCTAGCGAAGATTGATTCATACATTTATTAACAAATACAAAGACACACACATAGACAGAGAAGGGGTGGGGCCATTTCATTGTTCTTTAAAGTTGACAGCCAAAGGAAGAGGCGTGAGCCAATTAGATGCCCTGTCCAATTAACACTTAGCACCGTTGAGGTGTGTGCATTTTTCAGCATGACACCACCATCATCCCGACCTGTCTGAGACTCACTCTGACAGAGAGCATGACACACTGCTCCACAACCCATTGTTCAACATTACGGCAGCTATAAAAAACTGCTCTCCTAATAGCTACCACGGAATGCTTTGACAATAATAACATATTGTTCTACAAACTTATAAAGATGAGAGGTAAAATGTAAATCTCTACCAGGTGCGGCAAGTGTGGCCATATTGTGCGATGACTTGTCATAATAGTGACAGAAGCATTTGTGCAAGGATGCGGGATGGACAGTTCGAGGTGTATATACGAGAGGGAGAGAGATATAGAGAGAGAAAGAGAGAGATAGAGAGGGAGAG